CCTCCTCTATACTCTCAACTCTCGACCCCCACTGTCGTTAAGTCCTGCGGCGAGGGTGACATGCCATCACTTAGGCAGCCAGGCCAATATTGCCGTTATATCACTGTGACGACTTAGCAGCCCTCTACAGGGACAATTTTGCTCACCCACGCGAATGGGAATGTGTTAGAAAAGGTGCCCTAACCAAATGCTGGGGAACCATGCTGTCTACAGGCTGACTGTGGACTCAGACGTAAAAGACACAGTCGAAGGACTAAAAATCGAAACAACATAATTCCACTTTCCCCCCTCCTCCTCCCCCTCTTCCCCGCGGTCCCACTTGCCAGACTGGTAGGGTGAGTCCGCTCGCTTTGGCAGCCTGGAATGTCTGTTCTATTTTAGATAATCCCAGAAGCAACCGACCGGAACAAAGGACGCCGCTACTGCCTCTGAAACTGGCGCGCTACAAGGTGGACATCCCTTCATTCACCGAGACCCGCTTCTCCTAACAAGGCCAACTAGGGGAGGTTGGTGCCAGCTACACCTTCTTCTGGACCAGCCATCCCAAGGCAGAACGACGAGACGCGGGTATCGTGGGACGACTGCCTTGCCTGCCACAGGGCATCAACGATCGCCTGATGAGCCTCCGCCTGCCTCCCCAGGCAGGCCAATTTGCCACCATCGTCAGCGTCTACGCTCCACTCCCCCCAAATGACCAGCACTGACGCTGCAAGGGACCAATTCTACGAGGACATGCACGCCCTCCTGGTAATTTCGCCGAAGGCGTATAAGTTGATTGTCCTTGGTAAATTCAACGCCCGCGTCGGCACAGATCATGCTGTCTGGATCCCCATGGTCTCCACGGCTCTAACGACAATGGTCTGTTCCTGCTACAAAGCTGCACAGAACGCCGTCTCATCCTGATCAACACCTTCTTCCGCCTCCCGGTGCGAGAGAAGGCAACCTGGATGCACCCTCAGTCGCGACACTGCATCTGATGGGCTATGTCCTCGTCCGGACGGAGGCGAGACCAGCGGGACGTGCTGGTGACAAAGGCGATTCCGGGTGTCGAAGGGTGGGTTGACCATCGTCTCGTCAAAAAACGAGGTGACTTACTGGATCTCTAAAGCCAATCAGGCTATCGACCGGCTGCAGAACTCTGTATCGAATCGCTACGGTCAACACCTCAGCACTAAAATGACGACTTACAAAGCGGTCATCTTGGCAACTTTGCTGTGTGGCACGGAGACCTGGACAGTCTACGAGAAACAGGCAAGAAAACTTGAGCAATTCCACAGCAGTTATCTCCTGCGGATACTGAAGCTAGGGTGGCAGGACAAGATTCCGGACAGGGAATTTTTGAAACACTGCAATTATCATTTTCCACGCTATGCTGAGGCAGCAGTAACTGTGATGAAGCGGCCACCACTTGAATATGGGCGATGAGCGACAGTCCAAACGATTCTTCTATGGAGATTAAGCCAAGGCTGCTCGCCAACAAGGTGGCCAAATCCGTCGCTACAGGGGCACTTGGAGAACTCATTAAAGCGACTGCAACGCTATGTTGGTTCTCCCCGTGACAAGGACGTTTCCGGAATCCAACTCCAGCACCTTCCATTGACTACTGGCAACGGCATCATTCTATGCGACGTCTCCACCACTTCCCATTGTCCCTTTGTGTCGCCATCCCTCCGCCGAAAAGTCTTCTCCTCTCTGCACAACCTATCGCACCCTGGAAGTCGAGCAACCGACAAGCTGGTTTCGGACCGCTTCATCTGGCCTGGAATGTCCCAGGACCTCAAAGCATGGACACGGGTTTGTATCGCCTGTCAACGGAGTAAGGTCCGGCGGCACAACAGGGACACAAGTGGCACCTTCCCCGGCCCTGGTGCAAGGTTCAGCCACGTTCACCTGAACATTGTAGGTCCCCTGCCTCTGTCCAATGGCTGTTCTTATCTCCTCACCCGTGTGGATCGGTCCACCCGGTGGCCTGAAGCAATTCCCCTGCCTGACATTGCTGCTCCAACGGTGGTCAAGACTCTTCTCATTCGTTGGTTTGCCATCTTTGGTGTACCCTCCACAATTACGACTGACCGTGGTGCCCACTTTGAGTCTAACCTCTTCCAGTCTCTCCTCTCCTTTTTAGGCTGTACTCGCATCCGGACGACAGTCTATCACCCGGCTGCCAACAGGATGTTCGAGCGTTTTCACCGACAGCTGAAGGCCTCTCTACGTGCCGCAGCCGATCGGGAGAACTGGACGGACCACCTTCCTCTGGTGTTGTTGGGTATCCGCTCCGCTCCTGAGCCAGACCTTGGTTTTTCCGCAGCTGAACTGGTGTTCCGCGCCACCGTCCGACTGCCCGGTGAGATGATCTCGCCAATCCCGCGAGGTTCGGTTGAGGATCCCAACAACCTCCTGCATCGCCTCCGGCAGTTTATTTGGACACATTCTTTGGTTCCGCCCAGGTCCTACGCCTCTCCGTCCTATCTCGAGAAGAACTTGGCAACCTGCTCTCACGTCTACCTTCGATGTGATCGAGTCCGCCGGCCTCTGGAACCGCCCAATGACGGCCCATTCCAGGAGTTCACTCGGGAACAGGGACACTCCGCCTTCAACGCGGCAATCGTGAGAAGGTCGTGAGTGTGGACCGACTCAAAGCTGCTGTCCCGGACAGTCCTCCGGACGAGCCCTGTGGTCCCTTAATATTTCACCTTCGAGTATTTGCCCCCTCTCTTCCCTGTCCCCTACCTCCAACTGCCATCACTAATTCCAATACTTCCGCCATAGGACGTATCCACTCTTATACGGACCCTGTAAATATCAATCGCAGTGGTTGTCACTTACACTTTCCTGATCGGTTGATTACCCATTTCTTTTGAACTTGTACACATACTTCGGCGTCGTTTCCGCCTTTCTCCGACCTCGGAGGAGGGTATTGAACGGGGGCGCCAGACTATCTTGCCTCAAGCTACCTGTTCATAATTCTTGAACTCACTAGTTGTTTAACTGAATGGAAAGAACACAACACAACGCGAAACGATCGGCACCTGTTGGATTGTCAGGTCGTTTGACATTAGTTTATTAATTAATTCATAACTCATATCTTATCCTGATATCCATAGACTGAGATTGACAGTCGTGTACTAAGCGCACGCAAAAAGACCAGCGCGACGTGCTGTTGACAAAGGCGATTCCGGGTGTCGACGGGTGGGCCGAACATCGTCGTCTGCTACTGCTACGAACCTGCGCAGAACGCCGTCTCATCCTGATCAACACCTTCTTCCGTCTCCCGGTTCGAGAGAAGGTAACCTGGATGCACCCTCAGTCGCGACACTGCATCTGATGAACTATGTCCTCGTCCGGACTGAGGCGAGGCCAGCGGGACCTGCTGGTGACAAAGGCGATTCCGGTTTCCGAAGGGTAGGCTGACCATCGTCTCGTCCTTTCCAAGACGCGGATACATCTATAGCCTCGCAGGAGACCCCAAGGTAGGCAACCACCAGGTAAGCTGAATATTGTCTTCGTCTGCTCACCATCTCCATTTCAGCAATGAACCAGCTCAACGACTAGCCAACCTTCCAGTCGCCGCTGCTACCGCCGCTAACGAGAACGCCTCTGTGGAGGACCGATAGTGTTAAATGCGAGACACAGTCCAGCCGACGACCCTGACTCTTCTCGTTCGCGCACGTCGCCAACATCAAGGCTGGTTCGGTGACAACGACACCGTCATCAGCAATCTACACGTTGAGAAGAACTGTCTGCACAAAACCTACTTTACTCGTCCCACCGATGACAACAATGCAGCCTTCTACCTTAGCCGTCGCCTTGCGCAACAGCGGCTGCGCGAGATGCAGGATGCTTGGATGGCTCGTAGGGCTGAGGAGATGCAAGGGTACGCGGATCTCAATGAATGGAAGATTTTTTTCTCTGCAATCAAAGCCGTCTACGGTCCGCCAACTGAGGCAACTGAACCTCTTCTTGGCGCCGACGACAGTATTCTATTCACTAAGAAGACACTGTTTCTACGGCAGTGGGTCAAACAATTCAGAGGCATCCTTAACCTCGTTGGGTTCGAATCGCACCGGGGGGGGGGCTGAGTTTTTCACCGTTGTGTCACTATCAAATATGTTACTGGCAATATTTTAGTAGAATGTGCATTTAAGTTTACTATTGCATGTACGGTTTTCAACAGGGTCTTCAAGGGCATTGCTTACTTTATACGAATTCAGAGACGTCTTCAACAATCTCTCCGCCGTCTCCAACGCCGCCATCGCCCATCTGCCTCAGGTGGACACCAACATCGACCTCGATCTCCTGCCCTCTCTCTACGAAACCATCAGGCTTTACAACAACTCTCTAGCAAGAAAGCGTCCGGATCACAAGCGATCCCATCCGAGATTTACAAGCACATTGGCCCCCAGCTCATGGATCATCTGACGACGCTCTTCCAGGAGATGCGGCGTCAGGGAGAAGTCCCACAGGAATTCAAGGACGCCACAATTGTCCATTTTTACAGGCAGAAAGGGAATCACCATTTCTGTGACAATCATCGAGACATCTTCTTGCTGAACATCGCCGGGAATATCTTCGCTCGCATCCTCTTCAACCATCTCAATAACCATTTGCAACAAGGACTCCTGCCGAAAAGCCAATGCGGCTTCCGTCGTCATCGTGGGATCACCGAGATGATCATAGCGGTCCGTCAACTTCAGTAGAAATGTCAGGCGATGCGGACCCACCTGTACTTCAGATTCTTGGACCTGACGAAAGCCTTCGACAGGATGAATGGCGACGGACTGTGGGAAATAATGCAGAAATTCGGCTGTCCTGAACGACTCTTTCAGATGGTACGTCAGCTCCACGATGTTATGATGGCGCGAATCACGCACAATGGAGCTGTCGTAGACGATTCCACCTATTTGGGCAGCACCCTCTCCTATAACCCCAAAATCGACGATAAAGTGGCCCGTGGAATTTCCAAATCTAGCCAAACCTTCGGCTGTCTGCAAAACACCGTCTGGTACACCAAACTGAAGATCCACGAGGCAGTCATTCTGTCGACGCTGCTGTATGGAGCGGAGACCTGGACGGCGTACAAGAAGCAGGCCCGAAGTCTCAACCGCTACCAACTCAGCTGTTTTCGACGGATACTAAAGCTGAGGTGGCAGGACCGGATACCGTAGACAAACGTACAAGAACAAATGGGAATCCTCAGTAGCTACGTCATGCTGAGACAATTGTAACTGCGCTGGAGCGGCCACCTTGTGCGGATAAAAGACGAGAGACAACCCAAATGGTTCTTCTAGTTAGATGTCGCCACGGGTCCTCGTCGACAAGAGGTCAAATCCGGCGTTATTAGGGCACTCTGAAGACTTCCTTGAAGTGTCTGCAGATCCAACCGGTCGTCAGGACTGAACTACGTGGAGGAGAACAGTGAAGACAGACGCAGTGATCGACGAAGCCAACCGCATCACCGCCGCCAAAGGCAAACGCGAGGCTCGCAAATCCCAACTGCGCCCACTCCGCAACGCCAACGCTCAACCATACCCGACCTACCCACGCTGCAAGTGGACGTTCGGGGCATGCGTCTGCTTTGTAGGACATCTTCGTACCAAATGTAGTACCCGGACTACACCAGCTTTTGTCTCCTCGTTTAGCTCTGACTCATCCTCCACGGCGACAGCGAACACTGACCGCACTCATGAACCCCCCACTACCATCCTCCGCCTCCGTCTCTCCATTGCGTCAACATCTACCACAGCGGCTCCTGTAACTGCCACCACTGCACATAATCCTGACACACCAACAAACAGCAACCCCCACCAACAACTCCGACGATATGGACTCTGTCCATACCTGTCCTCATTGCGATCGCACCTTCACCTAGCACATCGGCCTGGTCGGTCACTTGCGAATCAGTTGCACGGGGCCTGGCGAGCCAGTGCCTGGAGCGCCCACATACACTCACCGCATTCGCCTCAATTGCCCTCGCTGTACCCGCACATCCGCCCACATGCGCATTTACGAAGGCCTGAGATAGACAAGCGCCGACTATACCAAACCATCACATCGTTCCCCACCAACAACTGCATCACACGACATCATCATCCAACAAAAGTATCCAATTGCCACCTCCAATGCAAGTGTGAAGTGTTCTTCTCGGCTCCGGCTCCATGCGGCTCCCATGCTTCCTATGGGATTCGAGTCTGAGATTGCCACAGTGCGTCAAGCGCCGTGACTTGAAAGGCTGCCAATTGACGCCCCAGCTCAGTCCACGCAGTCTGTCCAGTTGTGTGAGTGTTTATGTGCAGTGGCGAACTGGTGGTCTGAGTGTCTAGCTGAAGCGGTCCCTTCTTAACGTGACCTGAGGCACTCTCACGCATTTGAAGTGTACGCCGCTAAACCCCCGTTGTGCGAAATCATGGTGCTTGTGTTTGGGGGACCAGGTCGTGCATGTGGCGGGCGCAGACAAGGTCACTAGACTGTCAGCCACCGCGCCCATTCCCCGCACCTGTCAACTGACCGACTCGGACAGTGGCTGAGGCATGGAAAATTGGAAGGCAAAGTGAGGTCGACGATTCAGCGCATTTTCCTCACTATAAGCAACCTGACGCACTTGAATCTGTCACGGTGAGCTAAAAACCTTGGCTTGGACGGTTGCCAACTGACACGATAACTTGAACCTCACAGTCAGCCCAGTGTTGAATGTTTGTGTGAAGAGGTCGACTGGTGATCTAAGATTCAGGTTGCAATGGCTCCTTCTTAATGTGGCCTTTATGACGCTCCCACTCCATGGGATCCGATCCAGGTGTGACCGTACGTCTAAGTGCTGCTCCGGCCGTACCAGCCACAGTGTTTTTGATTAAAATCCTGGTCATTTGCTTTGTGGACCAAGGAGTGCGGAGTGGAGCGTCAGGGTGCGGGTTCGACCGTGCCATCCACCTGCGCCCTCCCCCGCCTCCGCTCGTTTTGACACTGTCTTGACACCGGGTCCAAGTGGGAGAGTAGGTGAGTGTGCGGTAGATGCTGTGCAAGTCTAAATTAACTATAAAATAAATCCTGCATAAGTCACCGTCCGTGCTCTCACCTGCTGATAAGCATACGGTGGACATCGTCCGCAACGACGGTCGAACTATCCATGGATACTGCCTCTCAGCCGATGACTGACTCGTTACCCGGTCTTTGAAAGGTGATGGCCCAAGTTAAATGCAGGGCTGAGTTTCAGCCCTGTGGGCTTTAAGGATTGTGTGCGTATGCTATGCCACGCTTCAGCAAACCATGGCCCCCGCAGCCTGATGTGCGCTGGCAGTTCTCCGGAGCCTGGTTCCCTGCCGGTAGACGCGCTTGCGCTCTCACCGGGTAGACAGGTCGTTTACATGGCTGCCCAGTCATCCTCCTCTCTCTAATCCGCTGTTTTGTTGTTTTTGGTCAAAATCCTGGTCAAGTGTTTATTGTAGGCGAGGGGGTGTGATGGTACCTCTAGGTGCGGATCCGGCCGTGCTAACCACCTGTGACCTCCCTTTCTTCCAGTCTTCTTGACTATATCTTGGCACCGGACTCAAGGGGGGAGGAGAAAGTGCGGTAGACGCTGCGCAAGTCTGCTACCACTATAAATCAGTTCACACACAATTCACCATGCCTCCTCTCAGCCTACTGGACCAGGCTGTTGTATTGAGGGTTCTTTTGGGTAACTCCAAAAAGTTAGCATCTGGTCCTTGTTAACAGTGCTCGTTGCTCGGATGAATCTACGGTCGCAATGATATAATTGAGAAGTAATTCCCTGGTGTGTATCTTATCTGAGTAAAACGGATTCGAGCACATTTGAGCGACTTATGGTTTATGGACACCAAATGGCAGCGAAAGCAGAACACGCGTTGTCGCAGTTCGAAGCCGGTTGTTGTGTATATAATAGGATATTCGAACAAGATCGCAGGAAAAGTCCAGGCGTACAATAAAATGCGAAAGCAAAAATGGAAAATGTACACAGACCTCCAGTGTAAAGGCTTTCGTCTCAATAAAGGCTGTCCTACAATTGTGTTTTACCAGACTTGTGATTCAAGAATCTTCGTTTGTTGACCCATCGCACTCAGACAGGCACATCGAACACATACTTGAATGGATTGGTGGTGACACTGTACTGGTCGAGTCCATCAAACACCAAGATGAAGTGATCCTTGTGTTCTGTGGGCGTGCATAAGCGGCTGGGCACATAGGACATGGTCGATGAACCCGCGAATAGTTCAGGTGGCGTTACGAAGACCGGAGGACATGCGGACGAATTCAGAGAAATCAAACAGGAAGGTGGCAGCAGCTCTTGGGATATATAGTTGGTAACGACCAGCACTATGGAAGTGGTGGTTGATGAGGTCAGAGCGTTCTAGGAGGAGTTCCCCGATACAGGCAAACCGTGTTTGTATCCTTAACTGATAAGTAGTCTAGAGTTTTTAAGTGAGTCGTACCGTGGACTGACAGGCCAGTTATCAGATCGAGTAATTTTGCAGGTCGGCAGACCAGAAGATCAAAGTGATCTATGAACTCAGAGCGGATGGTTACACTGGAGATGTCAGCGATGACGAAGATCCATGACAAGCGACGAGGATTTACACTAAAGGTGGGAAAAACTGTCAAACGTGGAGATTTGGGGACAGTTGATAGGCTGAATGTAAAGGCCATGCCTGGGGCAGGTCCTAACTGCAGGTTTTATGGGGATCATGCCGATCTGGGTTCCGGTGGTCACAAGACAGCAGTTTCGAGCCAGACTGTAGCAGAAATAACAAGTATGGCTGGAGTTGCCAGGCAACTGGTTGCCTTGACATTCTGCTCGACCGCCTCAGCCTATTTGTCCTGCTTGAAGAGGAAAGAGCATGGGCAGATTCAGAGATGGGTCTTAACACCAATGGCGGTGTAATACCAGCAAATAATGGCTGTGTTAGGACTATACGAAGAAATAGGCTGTCCTTGTTGGGCAGATGACCTTAATGAGTTTCGGGAGAAAGGGGAACTGAGTGCTGTTGAAGATGAGCTAAATCTTGGATGAGCTTCACTAATCCCTTTTCGTGGTTAGATGTGGGACGAGTAAGAGCTTCGCGAAGCCAGGCAACTCCATCAACCGGTTGGCCATTCGAGTAAGTTGGACAGACAGGAGAGAGCCCTAGTCCGGTTCCAAGACGCGTCGCACTGCTGGTGGAAAATTGTGTGCTGTAGCCACTTGACCACATCAAAAATTGGAGAAGAGGAAGACTGGCGTTCGTAAGAGGTCACCAAATGGTGAAGTGCTATAGTAAACAACGATGAGTCCCCCAAATCAAAAGTCGGAAAATAGAACTAGTGGGACAATCATTACTGCGGTAGGGAGCGTACGAGTGCTTCAAAGGGGGACGGCAGCAGAAGCTCCAGCACGCCGGGAGCCAGCAGGTGTTCAGAAGAAGAAGATGCGATCATTGAGTTGCTTCCTGGAACTTGCATCTTTGCTTTTATCATCACTTGCTAGATGTGTGAGTTTGCCCGAGTTACGTCTAGCTACGGTTGATCAGAGAAGGGCATAACGTTGATAGGCGTCCTGGTGTCACCAAGCTGAAGGGCTGAGTCGCACGCAGCGCAAGCATTCAATTGACAAGAGGGAGGGTTCGGTCGATGTCACCACGTAGCGCAGATTATCAACGCATATTTTGACTTTGTCACAACCGCTTATTTATGTGAAACAAAGTTTCTATTACTGTCAACTCGGAAATTAAAATGAAGAAGTCGACCTGATGGGCATATAAGTGCAAACAACATTGTCGATAACTCTATCTTGATTCCCTGTTCTGATCACACAAACCTAACGACGGCAACCTTATCAGTTGTTGCATGCGAGGATAGTTGGGATCTGAATGAATACGATGGAATCGGAAAGATATTTACGTGATTTCTTCTGTACACAAATTAATAAGGTAGAAATGGGATTATCATATTAGAGCGTTTGAGGTCAGAGGTTACACAAACAGAGCACTTGTGTTCGTGAGGAGTGGGCGCAACATTACGGTAGGTTGTGTGGAAGAGGGTTGCGACTATGGCTCTCTGCGTTGAAGAGGGAGGAGGCTAACTGTCAGAGAGACGGCAGGCGGTCGGACATGGATTAGCGGTCTTTGGAATGGGTGGAGAAAGGCCAGTGAAACATGCGCGCAAACTCTCGTAGTGGGCA